CCCCACATCTCTCCCCCCCTCCCATCCCCTCGCCTTTGATGCCCCCACTTAATATTTCTTCCCCAGACCCTCACTATTGGAGAACCCAAGAAACTGACCCAGTCTTCGGTCCAATTCAGTTTGCCCCGAAAGTTCGTTTATAAATAGAGTAAACATCTGATCGAACCTTTTTACTTTTCCACGGAGCCGCATGGGTTAATCCTAACCCCGCGACCCCGCTAAGGGACAACCCTGTCACATCTCCCCACCCTACCGAACAAGCTAATTTCAAGCCGGGCGTGATGATTTTTAAAGGATTGCGATTGTGCATGTCCGCTACGGGAAGTGGGCTTACTGAGGAGGTAACATAGATAAATAACATCGTTTCCCCCCCCCCGTCATATCCCCATTTTGTATTTACTTTTTCATATATTTATTTTATTTTATATATTTTATTTTTAGATTCTTTTCCTTTCCACTTTCTGAGGCTTCATTTCATTACTACAGCCCGTTTTATGGATTATGTTTTCTATCCGTTGATCGGGACCGCTATCTCCTTGCGTAAATTTGTTCGAGTACCAGGGTTCACTCCAACGAGGTTCCTGTCCTTTGGCTCACTCTGGTATCAAATCCTTAAGAACCGACGCAGGACGTCCTTGTCTCTTCCTTATTTCTAAATCTGCAGGCCCAGTCCTGAGATTTTGACAGATCGGGATATCCGTAGCCCTGCCTATCCTTAGAATTGATCCCTCGATCGCTCTCGATAACCCCACGTAAAGAAAGATAGCTGTAGAATTGTTATCTTGAACTCCTTCTGCTGCCTGTCGAGCCAGTACAGCATTCTTGAATGAAGCCGTGCTCCGATCCGAGATCAATCAGCTAGTCTTTCAACGGGAGAAATCCTTTCGAATGACACCCAATATTTCTTCTTGAATTCCACCATATAAAACACTATCCCTCACGGATGTGGAAGAAGAAGCACGATAAACGCATCACAGCTGGAGAAACAGAAGCACCAATTCAATCTCTCCTAACAACAACAACAACAACAACGAAGAAAATGTCGACTGCCTCAACCGCTACCCCCATAACAACCCGCCGTTTCTTCCAGCCCAAATCTCACCGGCCAGCCCCAATCGATACCTCCGGTGCCACCGCCGCCACCACCACCACCACCACCACCACCACTACCACCATCACAGCCAACTCCACCGCTACCACCAGTAGCCCCGTTTCCTACCTCCACTCGGGCCAGCGCACGAATTCCCCTCCCCTTATGATCACCAGCCCAACTCAATTCCATTCCCAAACCCCTACATCCACCTCCACCTCCACCTCCACTGCCCCAACTCCCACCAGCCACTCGGCGCACAAGCGCTACTCGAGCCCATACACGCACACCAAACGCAAAAGCAGTGGCGGCAGCAGTCTCAGTGAGAATAGACGGTTGTCGGGCACCGTTAATTATTGCGGGCGCCATGGGAATGATTGGTTGTTCGGCGGGTTCAGTGTGCGGGAGAGTGTAGGGAAGCTGTGGAATGGGGGCAATGAGGGCGATGGGGGGGTTAATGATGGGAGAGCGAGGAGGGAGTAAACGGGCTGGCACCCTCCCCCGGAATCTGTGGACTTTTGGAACATATGATTATTCGTTCTACTTTATTCTTTTTATTTTTATTTTTTTATTTTTATTTTTTTTTGGTCGTTCAGAGGTGTCCCTTGTTTTGTTTCACTTTTTAGTCTCTTTCGTTTTTCTCTTTGTTGGTTTCGGTAGCGATCAGTGATGGTGGTGATTAATTCTGTGAAAGGTTTGTTAAAGGAGTCGTGGAGGTTGAGTTTGGAATTGAGTTGATGAAAAGAGTGGATTGCGAGTGGAATGGTAACTCGCGGGACCAAGATCCAACGCCGGCCACAGCCCGCAAACGAGATTAATACATGGCATGCGTAAGTCTCGTTTGCGTCTTTATACCCCTATCCGTCGCTGAATACGGTCCACTAATCTCTCATCTCTCATCTCTCAGTTCTGCCACATTTTACAAAATAAATAATTCAATGAGTATGCTATATAAGCTATTTGATAATAATCAACAGATATTCCAGTCCTGGCCTGATACATGTGTATCGTCTTTTTCACCATACCACTCGTTAGCAAGACAGAACGAAGAAACGAAGAGATGAATTGATCATTTCAAATGAAAATGAGTTTGATTAGATGACCATCTTTCTTATTCCAACATTGGATGCCTTTGTTCAGATATTTACTTCTCTGATTTCATGCCAACCCCATGTGCATGATAAGTATCTTCAAATATAAGCATCATTATGGAGTAGCAGTTTCCCAGACCAATGAACCTTTGTCGATTTATGATTCTTCATTTATATTTTCACTCTGGGAAGATTTTTTATAGGCCAAATGGCCTGTCGGATATATTTCCGATAATAACTTACGTTGCACGCATAAATAAATCGGAATTAAATGGAAATATAGAAACATTCCGTTCAATGCAGGACAGAGCTCATAAAGATCGGAGGTTGAAAAGGGAGGGTGATTAAACAACATAATCAGGCAGAAAATGAACCGATTGAGCCAGTGGGAGGTCTCAAGCCAAAATAAAAATTAAAATATTAGAAAAGGTATAAAAAAAAATGTCAGAAACAAGGGGGGAAAACGAAACCACGTCACGAAAAATAAACAGCACCACAGTTGCATATTCACTGCAAAATCGCCAGCAACGTCGTCCTATAATCGCCACTGGTTTCCCCCCTGACCCTCTCAGCAAGTTCAACTTGATACATACGTTTATATGCAGCTTTAGCCATCTGCATCCGCTGCCCGTCCCAGTGAATCCGGACAATCCTCTCAATGAGATGGACATCCTTGGTGCCCCAGCCCTTCATCGCTTCCTCCAGCGCCATAGCATCCCGCGCTGCCCGGTCCAAAGCATTCCTCAACATCGCGAGCAGAGCGCTCCTCAAATGGCCGGAGAACTCACTCGCTATTTCCTTCTCGAGATCCTTATGAAACTGCGCCTTGTATTGCTGTGATATGGCGCGGAGTTGGGCGTCTGAGCGGCGGGCAAATATTCTATAGACGGTGGCTTCGTCCGTGCCGAGTCCGGCCATGGCATGGTTGAGGTTTCTGACGTCTTGGTCGAGTTCATGCTGTAGGATGGGGGCATTCCCTTCAGGTCGCGCTGCAGTCAGAATGATGTTGAACAGCGCCTTGACGTCTCCTGATAAATCGCTTTGGACGTCGGCTTCGAGGGATCTATTCTTGAATTCTGTTGCGTAGGCTTGTTTGATTGCATTTAAATCAGCGTTGGATCGGCCGATGAGAACGTCATTTAGCATGGCTTCATCGGTGCCTGCACCCTTGAGCGCTTTTCTGAGTGCATAGACATCCTGCAAAAGTGGTCCGTTTACCAGTGCAACAAGGACATTTTCAAAGTTGCCCGAAGTCTCGGATTTAATGTCTTCTTTCAGATTACGCCCCGTTCGTTTCGTGAACGTATCCTTTATAAGTTCAATACGGAGCGGGTCCGCCTTGGTGAGAATATTAATGAGAACTTTCTGTTTAGTTCCAAATCCTTTCATCGCGGCGCGGAGATCGTCAGCCTCCGCTGACGCATCACCCGGTGCCATCTGACCCGGAATGTACCCTATTGATGGCGTGCCTACATTTGGAAACTGTGCAGGATATAACTGCTGTGGAGGAACATGACTGGGAGGGGGTGCTCCGTATCCATGGAGAGGCGGTTGTTGTGGATAATACCCTGGTGGTTGGTGATGCGGAGGGTATCCATATGGCGGATGCTGATATTGGCCTTGTGGTTGCTGGTATTGCAGCGGATAAGGCTGAGGAGGATATTGACCGTAGTGGCCTTGTTGATACTGATACTGACCAGGTG